CACTTTTCATACACGTCTCGCTGTTCCCTGCCCGGCTGCGCTCCATCGCCAAGAAATCCTCTAAATCCACCCACACAAAGAGGATCTGGCCGGTCTCTTCTTTTTTCTCATGGCAGATGGCTGTGTTCCAGAAGCCGGGGAACATCTGGCTGAAGCAAGGGTGGCCTCTCGTGGCGGCTTTGGCCCACGGCAGCTCCTCTGAACACATTTCTCGAAGGTTTGCAATTTTTTTTCCCTTAGGGCTTCTCCTGATCCAGCAACAGAGGGCACCAAGAACATGGAAGTGGGCAGAGTTTGGAGGTAACTTGTTCTAAAAAGACCTGGGTGCAATTAATTCCTTTTTGCTACAACTAAGGCAAAACTAAGTTATAATATGATTCTAACATAACAAGAGAGGTTAACAAGACTTCTTTGGACAAGGCAATTCTTGTAGTTACTTAGTTTAGTTACTCCTTTGAGTGGAGCAACTTTTAGCTACTTTAGTTACTCCTTTAGGTGGAGCAACTCATTAGTTTAGTAAGTTCCTTGGTCACTAGGTTTAACTGCTTTGGGTGGTCAACGCTTTTACCCTGTTTCCCCGAAAATAAGACCTAACCTGAAAATAAGCCCTAGTATGATTTTTCAGGATGCTCGTAATACAGTATAAGCCCTCCCCCAAAAACAAGCTCCATTAAAGTGAAACCCTGCCCTCCATCCTTATGCAGCAACCAGAAGATGACATGACTGTCTTTGAATAAATGTAGATGGTTGTACATTAAAAAAAATTAAAAACATCCCCTGAAAATAAGCCCTAATGCATTTTTGGAGCAAAAATTAGTAAGAGACCCTGTCTTATTTTCAAGGGAACACTGTAGTTATTTTAGTTACTCCTTTGAGTGGAACAACTCATTTAGTTACTTAGTTAGTAGTTACAGGGGTATTCAGATATACTGTTTAGGAAGGCCTTTGCACACATATTGAAGCCTGGGGCATTTTGATCTTTTTAAAAGTATTTCAGTTACTTTTGAATAATGAGAACAAAAGGGTAAGTTTAAAAAAATCTGGGTTGGGTAGTTCCTTTAACTGCACCAATATAAGATGCAAAATAGCTTCTGAGTTCTCCCAGAATCTTTCTTCAGATACGGACAGTATAAAATTTGGGACCTTCCACAAAGATGGCCATTACATCTAGCTTGTTTCTGGATTTATTTCCCCCCACTCCTTATGTCCAAATTGTATTTTTGTTTTGTTGTTTAGTCATTTAGTCGTGTCCGACTCTTCGTGACCCCATGGACCAGAGCACGCCAGGCCCTCCTGTCTTCCACGGCCTCCCGGAGTTGAGTCAAATTCATGTTGGGAGCTTCAATGACCCTGTCCAGCCATCTCGTCCTCTGTCGTCCCCTTCTCCTCTTGCCTTCACACTTCCCCAACATCGGGGGAGTCCTGTCTTCTCATGAGATGGCCAAAGGATTGGGGCCTCAGTTTCAGGATCTGTCCTTCCAGTGAGCACTCAGGGTTGATTTCCTTTAGAACTGATAGGTTTGTTCTCCTTGCAGTCCAAGGGACTCTCAAGAGCCTCCTCCAACATCACAATTCAAAGGCATCAATTCTTTGGAGGTCAGCCTTCTTTATGGTCCAGCTCTCACTTCCATACATCACGACAGGAAAAACCACAGCTTTGACTATGCAGACCTTTGTCGACAAGGGGAGGTCTCTGCTTTTGAAGATGCTGTCTAGGTTTGTCATCGCTTTCCTCCCAATGCTGCAAATTTGCTCGGAACAGAGGCTGAAAACCAGCAGCACATTTCAGCCAAGAAAATATCAACTCTCTAAGTACTTTTAAAAGGTTTGGGCAGGAGTGAAAAATGCATGTTCTTGAAAAAGTACAGCTTCTCTGTTCGTTTCATCTACTGAATTGAGAGATGTCTTTTTGGGTATATTTTTTCCACCATCTGTAAAATTTCTGCCCAGCAAAACATTGTTTGCACACAGCTCAATACCGATGCAAAAAATAAATAAATAAATCCCAATAGGGAGTTGGGACAGAAATTGCCGAGCGATACCTCCTCGGGAGTAATAAGGGGGTGCTTGATTTTGGAGATCCACACCTCCTGCTCCTTATCAGTAAGAAAAAAGGGGGAGCCCTTTTGCTAGCAGTGCTCTGCCCGAGCCAAAGCTCCTCGTGAGTAAGCAGAGCAGCGCCGGCTTTTACCAGACAGGGCCCTCCTTGACCCACCTCTCCATGGGAGTCGTGAGTGGCAAGCTAACCTTTCCGACGCTGGCTTGCGTCCTGCTATAAGAAGCAAGCAAGCCGAACGAGGCAGTGCCTTGGAAACCTCCCAATGGGGGAATCATTTTGCCCCGAGGAGCCAAAGCGCCACCCGATAAGACCCCTGCCTCCACGCTCAAAGGGGTGCGCGTCTTCTCAACGGGCTGGGGAGTAATCTCCGTCGTAGCATCTGGAAACATTTATTCCACAAAGAAAAGGCTAGTGGTGGAAAAATCCAGGGCACGACAGCAAAGGAATAGCAATTGGGTATTTTATCAAGATCCAGCAACCGGCTTTGGCTCAGAACTGCTGGAGAATGAATCTACATCAGCTGAGGAGGCAGAGGATCCCCGCACCGCCTGGGATTCTCATCTGGAATGAAGCCCGGGAGCTGTTAAAGTGTTCAGCACTCCTGGACTCCCTGCTTGCTCCTGGCCATGACAACCCCTCTCTCCCACGGCCGCACAACGCATGCAGACGGACGAGGGCCCTGGGAGCGGAAAACGTCACCTAAAATATTACCGTCGCTTCCAGGAGGACTAAAGCCTGGTCTAGCACAAGCAAGCAGCCAGAGGAGTAAGACAGAGAATGACAAAACAGAGGGCATGATGGGGAAGATGCAGCTCTCCAGCTCAGAGATGCAAAGAAGGTTTTTTAAAAACTTCTCGTGACCGTCCAAGTCACCTCTAACGTCTGGAGACTCTGTGAATGAGCCACCTCCAAAATCCCCTGTCTTTCAACAGCCCCACTCAGCTCTTGCAAACTCAAAAGCCAAACTCAAAAGTCGTGGTTTCCTTTAGGGAACCAGCCCATCTCGTATTGAGTCTTCCTCATCTCCTGCTGCTTTTGAACTCTCCCACCATGATGGGCTTTTCCAGAGAATCCTCCCTTCTCAGGAGGTGCTCATAGTAGGACAGACACAGTTTCAAAATATTTGCTGCCAAAGAGAGTTCAGGTTTGATTTGATCTTTTTATTCCTATGCTAAAAAAAAACCCAACACATTTCGGCCTCTGGGCCCTCTTCGAGGGCTATATGGCCGCAATCCCATAGTTTTCAAAGTTGGTCGTTATTTATTTGTAGTTCAAAGCTGAACTATGCTCAGCCGTGGTAGATATTTTTTTTAAAAAAAATACATATAAAATCAATGCATCAATAAGAATTGCTGTGCCTGCTCTAGAGCGGTCCGATCAGGCCATGATAATACATGCCTTTGTTACATCCCAGCTGGAATGGCTTGAGTCTAAGCTTAGCTCATAGACCACTTCTATAAGCCTCTCAGTCCCATCACCCTCCCAGAAGCGTTTGGTGGGGGAAGACAGGAGAGAGGGCCTTCTTCTCTGTGGCTGCTCCTTTAGACTCTGGAACTCCCTGCCACTGGAGGCCAGCCTGGCCCCCTCTCGGCTCTCCTTCCACAAGCAGGCCAAGACCTTTCTCTTCAGGCAGGCTTTCCCTGAGCGAGTGGCTGCCCGAGAGAGGTTTGTTGTGTGTTGTTGCTTTGAAATGTGTTTTTAGAATTGATTTCATTTACCTTTCCAATATAATGCCTGTTTAATTCTTTTAAAATATTTGGTATACTTACCGTTTTTAGCTTTGTCTTTTACTGATGTAAAGCCACCTTGGATCCTTTTTAAGGAGAAAGGTGGGGTAAAAACATTTTAAATAAACAACATGGGAATGTCATAATTTTACTGGAAACCATGAGCACCAGCCTATGAATTTCCTTTAACAAGGCTGCTGCATTACAGCATTCATGCTCTTAAACTCTGACCCAGCTGACCAAATCTCAATTACAGTGGTGCCCCGCTTGATGATTACCTCGTTAGATGAGGAAATCGCTTAACGATGAAGTTTTTGCGATTGCAAAATGATGTTTGAATGGGGTCTTTTTTCGCTTTGCGATAATCAAAAACAGCTGATCGTCAGGTTTCAAAATGGCCACCGGGTGTACAAAATAGCTCCCCGCTGTGTTTAGGAAGGCTTTTTCGCAAGACAGGAAGCTGAAAATGGCCGCCCTATGGAGGATCTTCGCTGGACGGTGAATTATTCAGCCCACTGGAACGCACTGAACGGGTTTTCAATGCATTTCAATGGGATTTTTTTATTTCGCTTGACAAGGATATCGCTTAACAGCGATTTTGCTGGAACGGATTATCCTCATCAAGCGAGGCACCATTGTATTATCTCAGTGACTCCAAGAGCAGCTGCTGGCAAACAGAACTGATCAAAATAAGAGCCACGGCCCCTTCCTTACCATGATCCTCTTCCAGGTGGGACGTTCAGGAGACCGTGTGGTGTAGAGAGGAGAGGACTGGATCAGAACTGGGGAGATCCCAGCCCAAAACCCTTCATGACATGAAGCTCATTGGGTCGGCCACTCCCATGGTCTCCGCCTGGCCTACCTCATGGGGTCGTTGTTTGAGTAAACGGGTGGACAGAGGAGGAAACGTGCACAAGAGCAGGGCTTCCCAACCTGAGGATCCCAAATGTTCTTGGACTACAACTCCCAGAAAGCCTGGCCAGCACAGCAAGCAGTGAAGGCTTCTGGGAGTCGTAGTCCAAGAACATCTGGAAGACCAAAGGTTGGGAACCACCGCCTTAGAGGAAGAGTCAAGATAAAATAATTGTAATCACAGTTCCACCAGAAGTAATACAGTCCTCCTTCGACCTCTGAATAAGAGGGTTAAGTCTATTCCCTGTCAGCTCCTTCCCATGCTTAGCACAACCACACAAAGTTATGGAAAACAGGAGAAATTATAGAAGAGGATTTTTAATGCAAATTTATGTGCATAGTTGACACATTTATGAGGCATTCTGGCTCTTAGTTACAGAACACTATTATTATTTCAAGAGTAGGCTCCGCTCAGCCCTCCCCCGCACTAGAAAATAAGGCCACAAAAGGAAATCAAGAGTTGCATTTGCCATTTAAAACTACTTCTGTTAATTTCTTTTTAAAAAACCCCGACACACACACACACACACTCTATGCTGGTTTCCCCGATCCTAGCACACCTTTAGCATTAAGCACCGTTCAGATTTTTTTAAAAAAGGAATTATTGCTTGCTGTTGACTCAGCAAGAATCGGAATGCAACAAGAATAAAGGGAGTTAATCAAATGCCACGTTAGACACGGTTGTTAGCAGGATGGACCTTGGATGTTGGCGTGACGCCCTTCTATCGTGTACGAGGAAGTGTGAGGTCAAAGTGCAAGGCAGCTGGCCAGACCACATGGGGTGTAGAAACGATCCCGGGAACTCTACCACAACAGCAGAGAAGAGAATTTTTATTTTCTCATTTCAGGTCCTCCTTCTCTAATCCCTTGTCGAAAAGTCAAGTGCAAAGCAGCACGTCCGCCCCAGATGGCGTCTGCCAAGACCTTCTGGCTTCCCTGCCCCGTCACTTCTTCACCGAAGCCAGGTAGGCGAACCAGAAAAGGGCGACCAGGTTTCCAAACAGCACCTGGAACTGGTAAAGGAGGAAAGGGGGAAAACACAAACACAGCCTGGTGATGGACTATCAAGAAGATTCCCGCACTGGTGACCTGGGATGTCCCAGGTCTAGTTTATGGTTTTGGTGCTGACGTATGGAGCTCTTCATGGTTTGGAGACCCCGTTACCTGCTGGAGCATCTTTTCTCGAGATCATCTACTCATGCCACCAGATCCTCCCAGGGGGAACACCTTGAAGGAGGCCAAGAAAACATCCACTAGATGGTGGGCCTTCTTGGTGGTGGAACCAGCCATTGGGAACCAGCTCTCTTATGAATGGATGGATGGATGGATGGATGGATGGATGGATGGATGGATGGATGGATGGATGGATGGATGGATGGATGGATGGAAGGATGGATGGATGGATGGATGGATGGATGGATGGATGGATGGATGGATGGATGGATGGATGGATGGAGCTGAGGGAGGTAGGGAGGGAGGGAGGGAGGGAGGGAGGGAGGAAGGAAGGAAGGAAGGAAGGAAGGAAGGAAGGAAGGAAGGAAGGAAGGAAGGAAGGGATTCTGCTGGAGTTGTGGAAGGGACTGGGTGTGTCTCCTTTCCTCTCCCTTATCACCCTTCCGGGGTTGTGTCACCTGAAGAAAGGAAAAGGGAGTGGGGGGAGGTACCTACCTGCATAGGAACGTAATTCAAGTTGATGAACTGAACTGGAGTCCACAGTTTCCAGTTCATCTTGAGGGACTTCCAGTAACTGGATTTTAGCTTCTTGGCGAAGGCAGCAGAGTCATGACCCTGAAAGGCACGAGACAACAAATAGGAACCAGAAGAAAGGAGATACCCGTTTGGGGGCGCACTGAAGAGACACGGAAGCCCGCCAGGAGAAAGTCTCATTTCATTCGGGGGCGGGGGGAGGAATCCCGGGAGGCCATTTTGTCTTCCCAAGAACCCTGCCGGGGTGAGCGAAAGCAAGGAGCAAGGTCACGTCACGAGCTTCATGGCCAACCAAGGCCAGCCTCTTAAGCTTCAACATTTAAGGTGCCGAGATGCGCTGAAGTCATATTCTCTACAGCGCTGAGCTGTCAGGTGGTGCCAATGGGATCCATCTCATATAAATGAACTATGTAGATTCACACCGTGTCACGCCTCTGGCTTTCGCCACCCTCTTGTGCCTCAAGAGTGGTGGTCAGGAGCGGGCTGGCCAGTCTTTTCTGGGCACCTTGAGCCGCTGACGTATATCCGAGTGACAAATCTCAGACAGAAACACTGGAAAACCCATCAAGGCCCTCCGACCAATCAATAAAAACGATTGCAGCACACAGGAAAACCCAATTACAAGAGTAGCGCGTCCCATCCTGGACACCGCATTTGAAGGAGGAGGCCCACAAACTGGAGCAAGTTCAGAAGAGGGCGACCAGGAGGATCCGGGGGCTAGAAGCCAAGCACTGGGAGGACAGACTGGTGGAACTGGACATGCTTAGCCTTGAGAAAGAGGAGACGGAGGGGAGATACTTTTCAAATACTTGAAAAGTTATTCAGAGGAGAGGCAGGGTCTGCTCTCGATCATCCCAGACTGCAGGATATGCAACAATGGGCTCAAGTGACAGGAAGCTGGATTTAGGCTGAATATCAGGAAAAATGTCTTAACTGTTAGAGCAGTACGACAACGGAATGATTGACCTCGGGAGTTGGTGAGCCCTCCAACGCTGGAGGCATTGAAGAAAAACTTGGATAATCACCTCGGAGATATGCTTTGATGGTATTCCTGCACTGAGCATGGGGGTTGGACTTGATGGCCTTGTAGGCCCCTTCCAACTTCAGTTTTCCATGATTCTGTGATTCTATAAGAATCACATCTGCTTCCACTCAGATTCCTGCCTTGAGCAGGAGGCCTTTATAGGCCCCTTCCAACGCAATTATTCTACGATCCTAAGAGGGAATTCATCAATGTACGTGACCTTTTTTCACAAACACCACGGGAGATGGCCCCAAGGTGCTCACCGTCCCAAAGTCAACCGACAGAAGAGGATCAGAGGCTATGAGTTTGTTTTCAGGGTCATTCTGCTGCTGGTATTTTTAGCGCTTTGCCCACTCCGGCTTAAAAACCTCCACCTTGGCCCAATTAACAAGGAAGTATGGGATTGCCCTGCTCGACAAGCCCCTGCCATCCCTAGTCCCTTACCTCCAAGAGGTTCATGATGAAAAAGAAGAGCAGGAGGAAGGCTGGGGCCACCAACAGCCGGTCCACCAGGAGCTTCTTGATGATGGCAAAAGGCGTGTCCGACGGGACCAGTTGCTCCAGGTACAGGTAGAAATAGTGGCTGAGAGGTCCAGTGAAGAAGAATCTAGCAAAGCAAGATGGTCAAGAGTGGGGAAACTTAGGTTGAGCAACGCTGGTGTTGGTGGCCTCATCCACCCAACTGCCCAGTGGCGCAGGTCAATCCAAAAGAGCTTAGCCGGACAACCAAGCCACCAAATCCTTAAACCGTCCCTCCCCGCCTCCCAATATCGGCCGCTGGCAGAGATGCCATGAACTGTTCGGAAACCTTGGAGCTGTTCTAGGGGAATCTGCCAGTCACGGATTGCTGACAAACAGTCCAAGCTGAGAGAGGGGGGTGAAAGGTTGGTTCGGCGGAGGACCAGGGAGAAAAGGGCACACGATATTCTAAATAGGTGTGAAAGAGCACAGAGTCCTAGGTATGGTGGACACAAGGCTTTTTCAGGGCAGAGGAATCAGAAAGCAAGACGGGTAGTAGACCAACAGGGTGGGCGTTTAGAAGAAGGTTGGGGCAGGTGAGATCGCGGTCTGGAGGGAGACGCTTGGAGTGGATGAAAAGAGGGAGTTCTGGAAAAGAAAGATTAGGAGAAGCTTAGAAGAGGAGCAGGCAAATTGTGACATCATGCTAAGGAACGGAATTTTAGCCATTGTTGCACGCAGCCTATTGTCTTGGGTGTGTCCTGACAAGCAAACCTCAAGCCCCGACAGTCGTACCAGGAGAGCTCATGGTGAAGGAGCATGGGAATTGTAGTCCAAGAATATCTGGAGGACCAGCGGTTGCCCCACGCCTTCAGGAGGGCTTCAGAGTTAGCAGAAAGCCACGGGTAAGGGAAATACTTGGAGTTGGAGAGCAGGGGGTGTTAAGAAAGGATCCACGACCCAACCCCCAAGTGGTCGGTGATAACGACTACAGGAGAGAAAAGGCATTCCACTGTTGCGGGAGTCAGGAATCCACCTCATGGAAACTGGGAGCAAGATTACTAGCGCTCTCCAAGGTACTGAAACCTTTGGGCCAGTGGGTTCGGCCCCTGAGACGGCTCGTGTAAACTCTGCCCCGAAACCTCGGCCAGATTGACCACCCCCCAGGACTCTGGAAGTCGCAACCCGATGCCCAAAGACACCGCAACACGCAGACCAGAAGTGGCAACCCAGTCCGTAAACTCTTTCTGACACCCAGTATCTCCTGCTTCACAGGGTTATTTATTTAGGTAAAATATTTTTAGCCCACCTTTCTCCTTAAAAAAAAGACCCAAGGCGGCTTACATCCTTCCAAGACCACGTTACAGCTCACAACAGTAAACAGACAAATACGAAAAAGGATCAAAGGCCATACAAACAACAGGAGGCAAAACCAAAACACGTTCAAAGCAGGAAGGCACGCCGATCCATTTAAAAAACTGTACTTGGGTAACCAGGGAAAGCCGGTGTGAAGAGAAAGGTCTTCTTGGCCTGCTTGGGGAAGGACAGCCAAGATGGAGCCAGGCTGGCCTCCAGTGGCAGGGAGTTCCAGAGTCTAAAGGAGCAGCCACAGTCCCCACCAAGCGTGCCTATGAAGGCGGTGGGGTCAAGAGAAAGGCCTCCCTGATTTCTCCCGGTCTTGCTCCCACTTACCCGTAAATGGCGAACCTCGTGGGGCCCCACAAGTCAAGCGCTTTCTTTTGATGGCTCTTGTCCACGATCTGAGACAGGAAACTGCCGAGGGCTGACAGGACGGCACTAGAGGAGGAAAAGGGAGAAAAGATGGTACGTGTTCCTAGAACCTTGAATCAGGATTGTCCTAGGAAACATCACACACACATACTCCGAGGACAGGATCCTGCCTGAGGAAGGAGACTTTTCCTCCCTTGTGTGTTTTTTGTGCTATCAAGACGGAAGCCACCTCTAGTGACCCTCATCAGGCTTTCAAGAGGGCAGGTGAGATCCTTAAGGAGACGTTTTACCAGATCTATTCCCCCCAGTGAATTTCCGGGTCCAAGTGGGGATTTGAACCCTGTTCTCCAGAGTCCTAATCCATCACTCGGTTCACCGGGAATCCTCACTTCGAATGTGGAAAACTGTGTATTTCCTACCATAAGAACTGCCCCACCCATGATAAGAACAAATGAACAGGCTGTTTTATTTTATTCTTTTATTTATTTATTTGAAATATTTCCATCCCACCTTTTCTCCTTAAAAATGTACTTCATTAAAAAGACAACATGCTAAAGCCAAAACAGTTGACTATACAAATGTTTAAAAGTCTAAGAACGAATGAAATAAGTATTATGTATTAAAAACGGGAAGTAAAATCAATGCTAAAACACATGGAAAATGAAATGACAGTTTGAACAGAACACAAAAGCCCATTTAAAAAAAAAAACTCTTAGACCACCAGTTGATAAGGCAAAGCCTGCTTGGAGATGAATCTTATTTCTCTGAAACACACCACAATCCATATCAATGTGAAAGATCTCTAAGGCAAGGCACGCTTGGTTGCATGATGATTCTTGGAAATGCGTGCCTGGTTTGAGAACCCCGGCTCCCCACCCATTCCCATGCGCCCCCACTGAACCCCCACATTCGAACTCAAGCCCAATGCACGGACACCAACCCTGCTTGCCTTTGGCGACCAAGAAAGCAGAGAGCGAAGCAACCCACAGGATCTGAGATTCCCAGGCTTCAGATCCTGTGCCAAGGCATGCAAAAATGCTCCACCTGTCAGGTGTGGGTGTCGGGTTTGGCAACCCCTGCCAGGCGCGGAGACATCCACCAGCCCCCGCACCGGCTCTCGCTCCAAAGACACCAAAGCGAAGCAACCTTCTCCCCTTTTGCTTGGCACAGCAGTTTTAATCACTGGGGTTGGGAATCTGAGGAAAGAGGAGACTTCGAAGCCGGGTCCGTTTGGCTCCAAAGGTCAAGCCGGGCACATCATGAGAAAGCAGGATTCCCTGGAGCAGACCATCAGGCTGGGAAAAGTTGAAAGCAGCAGGAAAAGAGGAAGGCCAAATACAGTGGTGCCTCGCTAGACAGTTACCCCGCATGATTTTTTTCGCTAGACATTGACTTTTTGCAATCGCTATAGCGATTCGCAAAACAGCGATTCCTATGGGGGAATTTCGCTGGACAATGTTTGGTCCCTGCTTTGCAAACCAATTTTCACTAGACAACTATTTTGACAGCTCCCTCCATGCTCGCAAAATGAGTGTTTTCGGGACCTAAGCTTTGCAAGACAGCGATTTAAACAGCTGATTGGTGGTTCGCAAAGCGGCTTTCCTATGGCCGATCTTCGCTAGACGACGACGATTCTTCCCCATTGGAACGCATTAAACAGGTTTCAGTGCATTCCAATGGGGAAGTGCTTTTCGCTAGACAATGATTTCGCTAAACAGCGATTTCAGTGGAACGGATTATCATTGTCTAGCGAGGCACCACTGTATGAGATGGACTGACTCCTTATAGGAAGCCACAATTTTGAGTTTGAAATAGCTATACAACATTTTGGAGATTGCTCCTTCACAGAGTCACGCAGAACGAGAAAAAGAAGACGGGGGAAAAGAAACTGTCAGAAATTATGTTGCAACTCAAAGATACATCATCTGCTCCTTCACTGAAAGCAGCTCCGGCTGCTCAACCGCTGCTCAACCGGTTGATCAAGACACCCTCTTGACAGATAAGGTTGCAGCCTTTGAAGAAACTTAAGCAGGCACTTCCAGATGCGTTGGGATTCACTGGGGCTTGCTCCAGAGGTAAAGCTGCTTGCGTTTGCACAAACTTTATTTTGCACACATCGTATTAGTTTGCACAAATAATTAATGGCCGTCATCCAGTGGAGTAAAGGGGAAAAAAACGATCAGGGAATCACGCAGGCTCGTCCTAACTATGCCTCTGCAAGCAGGGACAAAACCAATGCAAGATCACTTTAGAGGCAGGCACTGCAGCAGCCTCAGTAGGATTACTCGCGAGTCATTCCCACCCAAGCTCAACAGGGCTTGAAGCATGCCCCCCTAGGAAGCCCCCCCCCTTGCAGTTCAACAGGACAAGGGCAAGTGGTCTCTCCCATTCTGCCTCGATCGCATTTACTCGGAAGTAAATGCCGGCCCTGCTCCGCAGGAGTGGCTCGTGTTAGATCCAATCTCAGCCCAACCGGGATTTACTCGGGAGTAAATCCCTCCGGCTTTTGCTCCCGCGCTGCCACGGGACAAGCCCGACTCGCCCCTTGCAAAGTTTACTCAGGAGTAAAGCGGCCGTGAGCGGCATGCTTACCTAGCAGCAATCATTCCGTACCCGGCGATTCGCTTAACCCTACCTAGCAAGTATTAAGGAGTTCAGGATTGCCACGTGATCTGCAAGGTGTTTACTCGGGAGTAAATCCCAATGGCTTTTTTTTTCCTCCCAGGCAGGGGGAAAAATTCTACCCTCCGAAGGTTTCATCGGGTGTAAAACACTCAATGGATGTCAAGGGTTCCCTGATTCCCACCCGGTCAGGGCATCTCATGCTCCTGAGCGCGTCTTACTCGCGAGTAAACCCCACTCTCGGGCCAAGCGCGCTGGGGATCGCAGCCCCTAAGGGGGGGCACGCACCTGGAGGCGGCTTTGGTGAGCACCGGGTAGAGGCGGAGCAGCAAGAGGTACCGCGCGAGGAGCCTGCGGGGCAGCGGCCCCGATCCGGGCTTGGAGAGCGCCGGAGCCATGGCAGCGCAGCAGCAGCAGCAGCAGC